TAGCTCACAAGGCCAGCTCCGCCTCACACAAATCTCCTAAGCCCCTGGTGCTCCAAAGGCGTGTCCTTCGGCCTCGGGTCGGAGCCGAGGCGCGCCAGTAGGCGTGGGCGAGACCACACCAGAGATCAGACCACCCTAGCAGAAGCAGACACCACCGTCTACCTAAAAAGAAAGAGAACATAATAGAACCCACCACTACAAAAAATTAGCTAGGCCTCGGAGGTGAGGCGCATGCCTGTAGTCCCAGCTACTTGGGAGGCTGAGGCAGAAGGATCGCTTGAGCCCAGGAGTTTGAGGTTGCTGTGAGCTAGGTTGATGCCATGGCACTCTAGCCCAGGCAACAGACTGAGACTCTTGTCTCCAAAAAAACAAAAAAAAACAAAACAAAAACCCTGAAAAGTTGTTAACATTTGAGTCAGAGAAGGGAAAATCTGAAATTCATGCCAAAACTTTGGACTTTGACTCAGAAGAACATTCTAGGCAGGAATCATTTGTAATCCCACCACAAACCACTTTTATCATTATATTTTAAAAGATGTTCTGGGTAAAGATTCCTCCTCTCTGCTAGAGCAGTGGTCCCCAACCTTTTTGGTACCGGGGACTGCTTTCATAAAAGACAATTTTTCTACAAACTAGTGGGCAGTGGCTATGGTTTCGGGATGACTCAAGAGCATTACATGTATTGTGCACTCTAGCCTGGGTGACAAAGAGAGACTCTGATTAGAGACTATTTTATTCCTTTAAATTACGTTAACTTTGAGAAGGCTGTATAACTTTGTATAGGTGCTTCGATTAGTCTTACTTAATAGAAAAAAGGATGTCAAATTAATAGCTCCATATATAATTGGCTCTTAACAATCCTGAAACTGTTTCACTTATTTAGGTCGTTTTTCCCAATCTCAAGTGGGGAGCAGGAAAATAACATGAGGTTGTCGATGATTTTTTCTTTTTTCAAAAGGTTGTAGCAAATTAATTTTTTTTGTTTGTTTGTTTGAGACAGCTTTGTTGCCCAGGCTAGAGTGAATGCCGTGGCATCAGCCTAGCTCACAGCAACCTCAAACTCCTGGGCTCAAGCAATCCTGCTGCTTCAGCCTCCCGAGTAGCTAGGACTACAGGCATGCACCACCATGCCCAGCTAATTTTTTCTATATATATAGTACTTGGCCAATTAATTTCTTTCTATTTATAGTAGAGACGGGGTCTTGCTCTTGCTCAGGCTGGTTTCGAACTCCTGACCACGAGCAATCTGCCCACCTCGGCCTCCCAGAGTGCAAGAATTACAGGCATGAACCATAATTTTGTTTATTGGTAATAGGAATGCCTTTAAAGTGTGTAGAGCCTCATTTATTATAATTCTCAATGGGCTATCATCAGTTGATCAGGAGATGATTGAGAAGACACTCAAAACAATAGTACTGAGGATTCAGAACCCAATCAGGAAAAAAATAGATTGTAATTTTCATGCACATTTCTAAAAGCTTAGCTAATGCACTCACCGTGGCCATGTCAATGGAAGCTGTCGCTTCATCCATAATAAGAATACTACTCTTGCGAACAAAGGCTCTAGCAAGGCAAAACAGCTGTCTCTGTCCAACGCTAAAATTCTCCCCACCTTCAGTGACAACTGCATCTAAATCAGAGAAAAAAGCAAGGATTTCAGTAAAGAAATGCTACTAACATTTTCCTTCCTCGGGCAAAGGACATTATAGCTGAATAAAACATTGTTGCATAGACTGATGAATGATATGTCCTCACCTTTTCTGTTTTCATTTCCATCCACATTTCATAAACTATACTACTGTGAGTTTAAGATAAATTCTGTTTCCGAAATTTATTTTTTTTATTAGAATTCAAACACTTTTTAGTAAGTTCCTGGGAGAGATTTCTATTGATTACATTCTTGCTGCATCAAATTCTTACAATTTCTCATGCGCAGAGGCTATGCATTTATTCTCCAAATTTTAATTCACATAATAAATAAGGAGGATGCTGGGGATGGTGAAAGCTCTTCACTAGAGTTGGCCCGAGCCACATCTCCATGAAGGAATTGATGTAATATTTATTAAGACAATGAGCACAATGTTCCGTGGGTTACATAGTGTAAATACAATCCCCTGTTGCTTACCCTACACCGTAAGCCCCAAACATTATGCCCACAATTCAAAACAGGTGTATGCAGCTCTCATGCTGGTGAAGAGGAGTATAAAGATGCAATTGCCTGTCTTTCCAACTATTAATAGTGAGAGGGAGGGTCTCTAAAGGCCTAGAGAGAAAGGACTATCAACATGTATCAGTTTCTCAAGTAGGCTTGCTGGGCTCTCCCCAGGAGACATCAAAAATTATTATGGGAAAGTTCATGCAGAGTTCTAGAATTACTCTCACAATCTGACACTGGAAAGGTCAATAAACTTTCCCTTAAAGACATGCTGTCTTGAGCTTTGTTTGTGGCATGCCTTTTCTTTGGAACTTAATTAAAATAATAAAATGTAGTGTTTGGGGGTAGGCTCTTCTTTCCAAATAAACTAACAAATAAACATGGTTTTATTTTGTAGGTTGATTTTTAAAAAGCTCAATGCAAAAACAGCACAATCAATTTGATCACTGTATATTATGTATTAAAATTAGAATATCAATAAACTATTATCTTTCCTCTTTCTTTCTTTCTTTCTTCTCGCTCTGTTGCCCAGGCTAGGGTGCCATGGCGTCAGCCTAGCTCACAGCAACCTCAGACTCCTGGGCTCAAGTGATCCTCCTGCCTAAGCCTCTTAAGTAGCTGGGACCACAGGCATGTGCCACCATGCCCAGCTAAATGAGTTCAGACTTCAAGGAAGCAAAAGTCTAAAACTGTACATGTTTCTTTTCTGTGAGTTAAAGACCATAGGAACTCTATTATTTCATTAATCACGTTGTTCTTTCATTCTGTCATGGTTTATTTGTCAGAAAGTGTACTGCCTCTTATCACTGATCGAGTACATATTTTGTTCTTTACACAAGTGACTAACGCTGACACTGCATCAAGGTAACACAAAATAGTGTCTTCAAACATGAAGAAAATTATGTTATATAAACAAAAGAAATATGCACTTCCTAGCAGCATAGAAGATGGCCACTAACATGGAGAAATTGTCTTCTTCTAAATGGTGCCAAGGATTCTTAAGCTTAATAGCTTCTGCTATCTTCTTATCCATTTCCTGAGGATAGGTGATAGTATAGGGCACCTGAGCAAGAATCACCACAAGGAAACACTCTGATTAAAAGGACCTATATCCACCAATAGTGAGAAGACTGAAAAGATAAATGTATTCTTTGGAATTTGTTAAAAGGTTCATCCTCTTGTACCCCATACAAAATCATTAGATTTTAAAAGATCCTAATGACCTGTAGGAGATTAAATCCCCTTTTAAATATAAGGGGATTCAACACTAGAATTATGTGACTATAGAATTACAAATAGAGATATGTAGAACTAATTGCACATAAAAAAATACGTGTACTGCTTAGAAAACATACCTAGACCTCCTGGTAGAGATTTGACCATGTTCTTCAGCTGAGCAATTTCTAGAGCCTCCCAGAGCCTGTCATCTGTGCATTTGCACTCTGGATCTAAATTAAATCTGTAGGGGAAAAATCAGTTAATTAGTCAATAAATAAAAATAGAGAAAAAATTATGTATATTTGCTTATTGCTTTTCTTTCCGTAAAATGTAAGTTCTATTTGTTTTGGTTACTTTTGTCTCTTCAGTACCTGGAACAGTGCTCAGGACAGAGCAAGCACTGAATTCATCCTTGATGACCAAAGAAATGAATGAATCAATGATCTTAATGCTATCAAAAAGGATTTTGATGAATCATTAGGTAAGTTTACATTCATAATATGTTATGATCAGCTTTGCTATGTGGGTCCATCTACTCCATATTATGCTTAGTATAACCCGGATAGTGTTTAGCAAAATTTTCCTGCAGAACTGATGCTGAATATATAAATCTAAAGGGGAACAAATGATGCTATTTTAGGTAAGATGTGCTGCTCCAACCACGATAGTAGTATCCATAATAAATATACTCAGAGATATAAATTCACTATGGTATTGCTAATAAACTTGATATATTCAGAATGTTCTTAAACTGGTGTTGTATTGATTTTTTTTATTTCAGGATATTATGGGGGTACAAACATTTTGTTTTTATGATTAATTAAAATAATTTTATAGCTGAATATTCAGAAATCTTACATACATTTTCTCCTCAAGATAAAGAGTACTTAGTAAAAGGGGGTAGTAAACACTTCTCAGTAATTAAGTGGACAGAGAAGGAGAACAAGAGAGAACAGAAGATGGATGAAATGAGAGACATGATTTGGTGGATGATGCCCGGGTGGACTTTGGAATCAGACAGAATTCAGATGCAATCGCAGTTCTAGCACTTCCTAAGAGTATGAACTTGGGTAAGTTGTGGCTTCTTTGAGTTTCAAAACCCTCATCTGTAAAATGAGGATAATAATATGTATCCTAGAGCAACGCTTTGAAAATTTAATCAGACAATATATTTAAAGCCCCTTGCAGATGGTAGATATTCTTATTTGTGTGTGTGTGTTTGTGTGTGTGTGTGTATGTGTGTGTTGTGTAGAACCACAAACCAGGCATGGAGAAGATTGTAGCAGCTTATTCAAAGCAATTTTGGCTGAAGGTAAAGTTATGGGGGGAAAGTAAAACATTTAACCAAAGTCAGAATACCTACTGAGGCCAGGCTAGATACCCAAGAGGCAGGGAGACTATCTATAGGGTAGAACACCTCAGAAATGTCTGCCAAGAATCACTGGTCCCAGGTACAAAGGAAAAAGTGGCTTTTATAGAATCAATCTGAAAGAGATCTCCTGGAGACATAAAGGATTGGCTTCTTCTAAAGGTTAATTTATCAATTCTAGGGTTTTCCAGCCCAAATCCTTAAACGCCATATTTGATCTTATTGTCTTGATGATGTCATTTCACAACTACATGAAAACAACTCTTTCCTATGAGCCAAAGGGTAAATCCTGAGGCACATAGACTTTTTGCTGAATATGTCACCTACCTAATAGAACCACTGAATAGGATTGGATCCTGCAGAATGATTGAAAGTCTAGAACGCAGTGTGTGCAGTGGTAGTTTAGAGATGTCTATCCCATCAATGACAATCTTTCCTGTTAAGGAAAAACAAAATGTACAGGCATGCAGAAAAATCACAGGCAAAATAATATTTGTTTACAAACTGAAAGTTCTTTTTTAGTTCAGGTATGAAATTCAGAAGATGAAGCTTTCCTCTTAAGTATTAAAAGTGTCATTATGTGTCTCTAAGAAAATATACATTTTGGTAATAGTTTGTCTTTCTTATACATTTCTCCTAAAGGAATTTTTAGTTTCTATTTAGTTTACATCATCATACAAACCAAAAGTACTTTTATTGCATATTGAGTCCTCTCCCTTCTAATATTCCTTTGTCTTCCTTCCCTGCTTTATTTTTCTTCACAGGTTTTATAAGAATCTGACATTCTGTATATATTTACTTATTTTTGTTATTGTCTTGCCCCCAACAAGAATATAAGCTTCATGGAAACAAGGGTTTTTGTCTGTCATTCATTCCTGTATTGATTGAATGTCATTCATTCCTGTATTGGTTGAATATCATTCATTCCTGTATTGGTTGAATGTCATTCATTCCTGTATTGGTTGAATAGTACAATGCATTACAAATAGGAAAGTAAATTCTAAGATATAGATAACAATTTTTAATAAATTTCCCCATACTCTATGTGGACTTATAGAGACTTGCCCAATCTCGATATTCTTTCCTCAAGTTGAAAGATTCATTTTATCACTTTTGTGCAAAGACAGTATCTCCCTGTGAGGTAAGCATGCCAAGCTCAGAAGGACAGCTGCAGTCCTTTTGCCAGGTAGATGTGGATTCATGAGCAGCTAAGAGTAATTAGCTTAGACTGTACCTTTCAGGAATAACAAACTATCTACTAAACTCTTAATAGCCTAATGCTATTAAAAAGAGAATACTAGTTCATATGGGGCCTGAAATCATGTTTTTGGATTCAAGAGGATCAGGACAACTTAGTATGATCAGTCATAACCACAGTGTTTTTTTTTTGTTTTTTTTTTGAGACAGAGTCTCACTCTGTTGCCCAGGCTAGAGTGCTGTAGTGTCAGCCTAGCTCACAGCAACCTCAAACTCCTGGGCTCAAGCAATCCTCCTGCCTCAGCCTCCCGAGTAGCTGGGACTACAGGCATGCGCCATCACGCCTGGCTAATTTTTTCTACATATTTTTTTAGTTGGCCAATTAATTTCTTTCTATTTTTGGTAGAGATGGGGTCTCACTCTTGCTCAGGCTGGTTTCAAACTCCTGACCTTGAGCGATTTGCCCGCCTTGGCCTCCCAGAGTGCTAGGATTACAGGCGTGAGCCACCGCGCCCCACCAACCACAGTTTTTTTAATGACAAATGTCATTCAAGTGATTTGGGGTCATGTAATTGCCTTATAATGCAAATCCTACCAAAAGTCCTTAAAGTATCTGAGCATTATGACTAGCCAGGGAAAAAGCAAGCTGCCAACCCAGTGATAGATGCTTACCTTGTTCTTGAATCTAACCCCCACAAAATTACCATGATTATAGTTCACCTTTGTTTTCATAAACTGACCTCTTTATCTCACAGAGCTGTTGTGTACATTAAATTCAGTAATATAAACTGTCAAGGACAATAAATATGCAAAGTACAATGATCATCATCATAATCATCACAGATAATAACATTAAACACTTCCTTGAACTGGTGGTCAAGTTATTGCTAGATTCCCTTTCATGCAAGATGGGTTATGTGCTGGCCTATTTATAGGCTACTTGATAGATGAAATAATCTGACATATTTTTTCTAAAACAGGTTAAATTATTTCTATATTCTTGTGTATTATAAATAATTTGGTGAATGAATAAATATTTTTGTATATTGCTGTCATGAGATTAGCACTTTACAGCAAAAGTTGTGTCTTCATAAAATGTTCAACATTATTAAACCATGTTATTAAGAAGATGATGGTAAGAGTTATGCACCAAAATTAAAAGTACAGATTACTTACCTTCTTGTAATTTTTTTCCTTCCTCTTGAAGTGCTACCTCCATCTACTGCTATTCGAAGTGGGTGGCCTTGTTTTCATTTGACCGGTTTATTAGAACTCTTCAGCAATAATCTCTAGACATGAGTGTAGGGCTAATTATTTTATTTCCCCAATTCTATGTTCTTTCTTTACTTCTGAGCTGTCTATTTGGATTACCTGCCTCAAACCATGTGTAGGACACAAAGTCCTTATAAATATTTGCTTTTTATTTCTGCAGAATTAGGTAAGTTGATTTTTTTTTAAAGAAAAGCACCACATAGCCAATTAAAAAATGTAGTTAGCAACTCACCATCAAATATATCAACCATTCTGAAAAAAGCCAGAGAGAGAGATGACTTCCCACTGCCAGTGCGACCGCATATGCCCACCTAAAAAAACAACTGTCACTCAGACAAAGGACAGAAAATGGGCAAAAGCATTTTTCACTTAAACAAAAAATTATAATAAAACTCCAATTCTATTTATTAATAGATGGTTACATCATAATCATCATTTTCTTCTTAGAGCTTCCTTATGAATTATCAATATTAAGATAAACACATGAAGTCCTTGCCAAATCTTTAATGATTCCATTCTAATTCATTTATTTTCATGTGATTGTGTTGTTTTTCCTTCATGGCTTAGTTTTTCCATTTAGTACATTGTCAGACTAATAAAGAACTATTCCATTTATATTAGAAGTGAGGGTTTTATAACAAAAAATAGAAAGAGACAATTTTTTTCTGCACGCTTATTCTTTTTACAATAGCTAAAAGAAGTCATTTTGGGAGTAGAGCTATTAGGAATGCAAATGTTCCCTAGGGAATGTCTAGTATGGACATGATTCAGAAGCCAGAAGCCAGAAATTAAAACAACAACGACAACAACATATGCCTATTGTTGACTTTTTTGATCTTTAAGGGAGACTAATGTACAACAATACAACTTAGAGAATACGTACCACACTCTGATCCTGCCTTTCCCATTTTTCTTTTATGCAGAGAATTTGACCCATGCTGGGTAGGAAATAGTGTGTGAGCTTAGGGAGAATATACTTACTTGGCTGGGATGTCCAAAGAGCTTAGGTGGTAAAGGAATGAGCTCCATTGGAGGTTTTATGTACAAAACAAATCAAATGGAAGTGAATTGCATACCTTTTGCCCAGGTTTGATGTAAGCCTTGACGTGTTTAAGAACAGGTTTCAGATTATTTTCATATCTGACACACAGATCATGAATCTTGATCTCCCCTTCCTGTGGCCAATGTTCTGGAACTTGAGAAGGATCTGGGGAGGGGTGAGGGAACAGGCAGACAGATAAATGGATAATAGCCAGAGACAGATACAGAAAAAACACAAATACTTAAATATATTTATATATACACATACATATGTATATATATGTGTGTGTATATATATATATAAATTTGTTTCTAAATTTAAAGTAATACTGAACCAAACTCTGCACTGTTTTATTTTTTTTTTAATTTAAATCACATTTAAAATAAATGCCTCTTGATTAAAAACTTTTAAAATAGTTCTTTTAGTTTATTTCTGGAGCATTCACCAGCATCATGTCTCTTCAGTATTCCATCACTCGATTCTACTCAAGGCGAACAGCGATAGTTCATTTGTGGATTGACTTATTTGTTCATCAAACGTTCGGGTGTTTAAAATGTGAGCGGAGCTGGGCACGGAGCTGGGCACATGGAGAGGAAAGACGCGGCTGGAGGTGCTCGCTGTGTCTTTGGGGGAGTGAGCAAGCAGAGCAGCGCCTGCAGTGCTGCACGGAGAGCCACGCGAGGGACGTAAACCCACGGTGCTCTGCGAGCACAGATGGTGGTGACCTAGGACTTCCAGGACAGCTCCAAGAGGAGGTGGGGCCTAAGATGAATCTTAAAGGATGAAAGAGGGGGAAATTTATTTCAAATATATCTATATACAGAGGAGAACAAAGATGAAACAGAAAAAGCACAGCATGTTAGCGTAGCCAGATTAAAAGTTGTACAGGTGGATGATGAGAAATGGGACAAGGTAGGTGGCCAAGGGATGTCTAGTGGTGTCAGCTAAGTTATCTGGATTTCATCCTTGAAGAGCTAGAGAGCTGTTCAATGCCTGAGACAAAGGAATGCCTTGGAAGCTTGAGATTTGCATTTAACAAAGATTATTCCATCCTCGGTACTGAATTTCCTGCCAGTTTTATTCTAGCAAAGCTGAGAATCTCGGTCAGTATTTTAAGATCCAAGCTTCTTTTTTTTTTTGTTTTTTTGAGACAGAGTCTCACTTTGTTGCCCAGGTGTCGTGGCGTCAGCCCAGCTCACAGCAACCTCAAACTCCTGGTCTCAAGCGATCCTGCTGCCTCAGCCTCCCATGTAGCTGGGACTACAGGCGTGCCCCACCATGCCCAGCTAATTTTTTCTATATATATAGTACTTGGCCAATTAATTTCTTTCTATTTTTAGTAGAGACAGGGTCTCGCTCTTGCTCAGGCTGGCTTCGAACTCCTGACCTCCAGCAATACACCCGCCTCGGCCTCCCAGAGTGCTAGGCTTACAGGAGTGAGCCACCGCGCCCAGCCAAGATCCAAGCTTCTTGACATCTAAATTAATAAGGTCTTGAGAAAGAGAACACAGTAGTTTATAGTTTACTTTGGCAATTAATGTAATAAAGCCCAAACATTTTATAACTCTCTTTCAATAGCATTAAATAATATCTATTTGGACTCTGGCTCTATCCAAGACTTCTCAGGCCTAAATAGTTCTATCCTTTTAGATGTTCATACTTAAGCAAAGTCAAGATGGCAAGGGGTTCTCTGGACATTGAAGTAGAAAACAAAAGCAAAAACAACAATGTGCTTATTAGCACACACTAATATTTGTTTAAAATAAATACTAAGTGAAAAAAATAATATTCTGAACAATACCCATGGTGCCTTCATAGTTCTCTGACTCCATAGTCAAGAAACTGTTCACTTTCTTCACTGCACCCATCTGGACCTCCAGGTCAGCCAAGTTCCTCACAACCCAATTCAAATAATTGGTTATCTGTGTCAGGTGACAAAAATTTAACACATTTAGGTTAAAGTAAGACAGTTTTGTAATTGCTGTATTTTTTGGAATAAGATGACGTGTGGATGGTTAGTGTGTACTGTGTGGCATAACTCGTAAGCGCTGCAGGATAGTAGAGAATGTCATGGGATATATTGGCAAAGAAAGGTGTCTGCTCTCTTCAAGGGTCCCCAGGTGTTACCAATTTGTGAACTGTCCTCTGATTTCCCTGCACAACAAAGAGTTGTACACACTTCTGTTTGCACTTATCGCATGAGTATTCACATTCATTTTAGTGTCCCCAACTGGGTTGGGAACAACTCAGGAGCTGGATCCTAAAAAACCCTGGGAGCACCCTGACCACGGGATCTGAGTAGTTTTAAAAATTGGTTCACAATGTCGGAAATGAATCTAAGCAGTCCTAAAATGCTGGGTTTGGGCCCTGATCTATAATTATTTGCAAGATGTCAACTTTTTGTGATTTTCAAACTTCTCTAACGTCCATGAATAAGAGTTGATAATAACTGTGGCAGGTGCCACCAACTCTACACAAAAGGAGAGAGATTTTCATCCATACCTACCGTAAGTGCGTACAGAAGACCCAAGCCCACCAATCCAGAATTGGAAGACCCACTAATGCATGCAATAGACGCAGTGAGGACAATGCAGGCTCCCAGATAATCCTAAAAATGAGCAAGAAAAAATGTTAAAAGATCATTCCCAAGTTCTTGAACCAAAGATCTCAATCAACTTACAGAGGTGATCACTAGAAATCACACACTCTATTCTATGTGTGTCCTGTTAAATTTCAGAGGAAGAATACCTAAGATGTAGAGAAAAATGATAACTTATAATATAGGGCTGGAATGGAGAGTGATGCAATGTCCTCATTATATATATATATTTTATAATTATATATATATTATAATATTAATATATATATATATATATAAGACACAGGTTCAGAGAAGTTAAATACCTTGGCAGAAGTTAAGTTGCAATTGGTGGCACAACCAGGATCAGATGGAGGATTTCCTTTTTGTCCCTTTCTACTGCACTGTGTTGCCAGACAAGCAACTATTTTGGGACCTGATTTTCTAGCTTAAATTTCATGTGTTCTTATGTCAGGGCTGTGATTAGCTCTCCTGTGTGCTGTAGCAAGATCCCTGTAGAAATTTGCCTCTGGTTAACTTGGTATTTGTATCTGAACTTTGTGTCAACTATCTGGGCTTAGAGTCCAGGACATTAAACCTATTGATGTCACATATATAAGAATAAAGGCTATATTTTCTCCAAAATAATAAGTATGGACATGTCTTAGTGTATCTGGACTGTGTATGATTCAATTATAAACTCTTTCACAAAACTTTAAAAATTCATTAATGGTCACCTTAGACTCAAATGAGAGACAGACATCTGTACCTTTTCTAACACCCTCTTCCTTTCCTGTCTCCCAACATTCTTAGGTGTTGTTCTGTCTTATCATTCAACAAAGAAATCCTCAAAACTTCTCATGGTGATGTATCACATGTCCCAAATGCAGGTAGAATTTCAGGCATGGGTACTTCTAGAATTTTCTCAAGTTTCCTCCCACTGATGAACTTTTCTAGCTAGACACATCTCTGGTCCCTCAAAAAAAACCCAACCCCCCCTCCCCCCAAAAAACACCCAATAACCACCACAACAATAAAAACCAGGTAGCAACTAGGTGGTAAGACATTAATGACAATAATGGAGTGTTTAACATGCCGAAGTCAAAGAATGAAGTTTCTCAAACGAGCTCACATGTGTGCATAGCTGTCTCCTTTAAAACTAGTTCCAAAGATCAAACTGTTGGAGAGCAATCAATGATCCCAGCCTGGGAGTCAGAATCTGGATTCAAACACTGGCTTTGAGCTTAGACAAGTACTTTAAGCCCCTATGAGACTCAATTCCTTCTTTGGAAAATAGATATTATCTCTAATTCACAGAGATTTTAAAAGGAATAAAAATGTTAAATACCAGATAGATTTCCCCATCTCCACGTACCAGTATGTTTTTTCTCCCTTGGATAGTTTTCAAATGTATGAAGCAATGTTAAAAGTTTGTGTGCATCATAAAACAACAAAGGTTAAAATAGGCACTAAAATTTAATACCACATTGATTCTCATGATCTTTACCCAGACTTAAGAAAAAAAAATCAAATAAAATTTATCCTCAATAAATTCCAAGGAGGTAGTAAATACTTCTTTGATTATTTCTTCTGATGTATCCATTTGTTAACAACTTGTCACACCCCAATCAGTTTTTCTTCTTTTCCTCTTTATTAGAAGCAGACTCTACTCAGTTTGGGCTATTCTTTTATGGTTATAAATGCTAATGTACTCTCAAGTAGTTATAAAATATTTATAGCAATATGAATTTTTTCCTTTCAGCCCTCTCGTGTAAAGTTAATACTTTCAAAATTATTTTATACATTATTTCCATATTGTATTTTCAAAAAGGATACATAAAAGAGTTTCTGTGATAAGTTCCAGAAAGTAAATTAGTACCAGAGCATACTTCCAGCAAGGTGTTCCTGGCTGGGCATAAAGAAATATGTTATTTGTCTGATGGGAAATTTCTGCGGTAACAGTAAATGTTAAAGGTTTTAGGCAAGGCACTCCTTTTATTAATATTAACTTCTATGCTCTGCTTTCTGCCAAGTGACTTCATTGGGAAGGAAAACCTCATTCATTTATTCATTCATCCATACATTTTTTTTTTTTTAAAGTGTAAGTCAGGTCATATAGTTTGCCTCTTTAGAATTATCTATACCTTCCTTTCACACTTTAATAAATTCACACTCAGATGAATTACAAAGCCTGATATGACATGAAGTCTAGATTCTATGCCCTGACTACTCTGACCTTACCAGAGATTCCTTTCCTACTCCTTCATTCTGCTCCAACCACGTGCTGGCCTTTTTCCTATCTTGGGAACACATTAACTTTGTTTCTGCCAATGACTGCCTGAAATGCTTGTCCCCAGGACTCTGACACCTGGCTCCTTCTTATTTAAGGGTCAACTCAAATATCCCCTTCTTGGAGAGATCTTCTTTCTTGGCCCCTAACTCCACCCCTGGAGCTGTTCTCTATCCCATTGTCGTGTTGTATTTTCCCAAAGCACTTACAGCCATCCGAAGTGATCTTACTTGCTTAGTTGTTTACATGCTCATTGTCTATCTACTCTCACTAGAATCTAAGTTCCATGAGGACAGGGTCTTGGTCTGCATTTTTACCACTATTATCTCCAGCAACAGGAATAATGCTAAGTGCGTTGTAAAAGTTCAGTGATTCTTTACAGAATAAATGATTGGATACATTCACTCCTTCATAAAATAGTCAATGACTTTTTTTATTAGCCAAATATCTTCTAAATAAGAACCTCTCCTGACTTCACTTTTGGGATTCCTATGAATCACTTAATTCTCCACCAATCTCTTTTCCAGATTTTAAGAGTTGAACATGTAAAGATATTACGAGGATGCATTTTCTTATAAAGTGGGAAGTCCAACACCAAGTTTTAAGATCTTTTTATCCCCGATTTAGAACTGTATATGACTGTCTCTCAAAAAGCTTTGCTATGTTTTAATATAAGTGTTAGGGGTTGCTTCCCCTTTCTAAAGTGAAAGGCAATCTTTCCTAGGCTATGAACTTCATCACACAGTTCCAAATTATTATTATTTTTTACTATTTCAATTGTGGAAAACAAACTCATAAAATGCTGTGTTGCTGTATCTTCCTTTATAAAGAGCAGATCTGGATAGGACTAGACTAGAACAAGGTCACATTTGAAAGGCTGAAACAGCAAAAATCACTGGTTCTAAATAAAGGAAATTAAACAATGGGCCTAATATAAATATGAATATAATAAATAAAATATAAAAGGTATGCACTCTCTCTCTCTTAAATTTAGTTTACTACAGAAATCACGGTATACTATACTGGGCTCAGGGATTCACCTGTTGTATAGAAAAAAATGGTGGATTCAATTAGATGACAATTTTAACTATTTTCTATTGAATTAAAATAATAATTATGGTAACATGTAGGTAGTCTTATCTTGGTGAAAGAGCCAGCAAGTGAAGAAAGAGAAAATAGATGAAGGAAGAAAAAAGAGAAGGTTGATCAATAAATTGTCAATATATATTTTGTGGACCTCTGTCACATGACTAATTTTTCAAAACTACTTGTAAAGCTTTGAATATGATCATTAGACATTATTAATTATTTGGTAATTAAAATATGCACACATTCACAGATAATGTGTTTGACACTTCAGGAAAAAGAAGGCATAGCTTTTTGAGGTATATATTTTGCAGCAAAATTTTCAGGAGATGAACCCATTTTCAAAATCTATAATATACTAAATTAAAAGAGCTATGATAGCTTGAAAGCCAATATGTCTGTAGTTTAGTATCTATAACAACACTATTATATCTATCATAAAAATATTCTTTTATACTTTTTTTAGAAAGTGCTATTCATGTTTTCTTTTAATTATAATAACTACTTTCCAGCTCACTCTTGGATTATTACCACAGCTGAAAAATGTTTTTTCTAAGGAATTGAAAATTTTGGGGAGGCATTTAATCAGAATTTTATCTTGAGCTGCATAGGGGATGAAACTCCTTTGTGTACAATGTTTATCAAGAAATTTCACAGCAAAATCACTAAATTCCAATCACTTCCCATCAAATATTAAAGTAGTATTAAAATGTGAAATTAAAAGATAATATAAAAGCTTATGTTATCTCCTCATTTTCCACTTCCTTTACCATTAAAGAAGTTTGATGAATCACAAAGTGACCCTATGCTTACACCTTTTTTTTCATTCTTCCACAAATATGTGAGCAGCAAACTGGCTTAAAGGCAATAAATAAGAAAAGGAGAAGCAGGTGGTCTGAATAACTCACACACAGGAGAGCAAATTCCTAGAGCTCATTAATAGCATTTGTTTTACTGCTATGGCCCCACACACCCCAACCCAATCTATTCGGTGTAAAGTGCCTCCTGTCAAGATGATACAACAGAATGACAAATTCAACCTAGGAAAAAGAAACTAGTACATATATGAATTATCCACTTTCAAAAGAGGGCACAAACACAGGGCGTTTTATATGTGTGGTGCTAAATTATGACATCCAGCAATTTTGTGAATTCAGCACTCCAGAAGAGAAGTCTTTGATTCCTATGTTACAAGGAGAGGCCTCTTGCCAGATCTCTAGTGATTCAATGACATCTGCCTATATGCAGGATTATGATGAAAACTGTAATTCTCTATAAAGCAGATTTGTCAATGCTTAAGAACAGCTGAAAAATATACAATCTCCTTCCTTCCTTCACATAGCTCTCAAGAGTACATGCCTATGGTACCATTCATTGGGAGATTATATCAGGGCCTCCAAATTACAAGACCAGTGCACACCTGTCTATAGTAGAGTTGTGAACACACACAAAAACTCTGTGTTATTTCACAAAATAGACTCTTGTGCAAGCTCACCCTCAAGACTATTTTCACGTTAGCCTATTGACTCCAAAGACCTTTTTTTTTTTTTTCTTTTCTTTTCTTTTGGCTTCTCGATGTGAATTTTCTTTTCTTTTATCCTTTCACCACACAGCAAGACAAAGCCTTGGAAAGACAGCCTTTAGATAGAGTTACACAACTTTCGCAACTGGAAACACGGATGCCAAAGAACTGGAATTGTTTAGCGCGGAGGGATGAAGGGAAAACACTGGGCTGAACAAAAGAACGTAAGCAGCATTCAAAGGTTAGGCGATGGTGACACATTGCACACAAGCGGGGCCCGCTTCACTTGGCACCCAAAGGAAAAACAGTCCCCTCTGCTGCCAGAGCAACCCGGGTGGCCACAGTCTAGCTACTCTTCTACCAGCCAAATTATGTGATTCTTTTAGACGCTTGTCCTTTTGGGATTTGAACATGTTGTGGCCTTTACTTTTTTTTCCTAATTCGAAATGAATATGAAATGAATATGGTGGACAAGGCTAAATCTTCCATAGGGAAAAACCATTACCCAGGGGAAAAGAATAAAACGTGATTGTCTTAACTCTTACTTAATATGAATGAGAAAAGAAGCAAAAAGCTATATATTTTTAAACCATTTTGATGGGGCTCAGACAACCTCTCAAATTCAATACAAGTTCTGTTTTTACTCTGGTTTCCCTCCCTTTCTTCTTCTTGAGGTTTTCTGTCAAGAGGGGTGGCATGGCTTTGGAAAGCTGAGGCCGGGAATGAAGAGAAAGTGAAGGGAAATACAGCCACAGAGAGTTACGTTACCAGGTTTTCTCCTCTGAGCGGATCCCATTAATGTTGGTGAAGCCCGTATCAAGAAACCCTGCTTGCCTCTTCTAATGTATGCCCTCTGCATTGACCCTTTTGAGGTTTCTTACATCATTTTAGTTGTGTTTCTGCTCTGGAAACTCTAAGAATGTTTACTATAAGCAAATATTTACGATAATTTACCGAGTACTATAGCAAAGATAGGCAAAGCAGGGGGCTGTGTTGATACTGCAGATAAGATCAATGCACACATACTGGATCAAATAGAAGTTTTCGTTACTTATTTTTTTTTTAAATGACTTTCAAGGCAGAATATGTCCAGATGTGGGGTTCAGAGAACAGTTCACATTCTAGTCTCCAAGGGCCTATATCTCAACATTCATTTTTCTGACAGAGATCCAGTTATTTCAAACTAAAACCACGTCTTCAGTGACATGGACATGCCCACAGGAGCTCAGTGGTAATGAGGTCATTTGTATGTGTATAATTGGGAGAAAAGATTACTCCCCATTAGAAGTCACCAACTTAATTTATTTAACACTCCCGCTATGGTATATGTGCTTGGATTATAGCATAATTGGATTAAATTATATTTAAGTATTCCTGACTCTTCCTCTGAATATACTGTAAACTCTCGGTGTATTCAGAAAGGCAGAAGGAGAGGGAATCTGATTGGTCTTATGGATCTCTGGGATTGTCTAGAGGGTTGTATGTGTGTGTTTGTGTGTGCGTGTGTGCACATCACATGCATATCCATCTAAACTTACTGACACGTAAATACAACAGATGGAGACAAATCATACACAAAGGACCTTGAACCCTGTCAGCAAATAGGCCTGGAACTTTGCAATAAATCAACAAAAGTTTCTTGTCAAAATTTACCTTGACCCATCGGAAATAAAAGCAAAAGACTCCTTAGTTTATTGTGTTCATTTTTAAGGGAGTGTTATAGTGATGAAATCAGATAGCAAACCTGGGAAGGATTATAATACACAGAAAGCAAACAGGATACATAATAACGAATGTATTATATAAAGTAACAAAATGAATGGCAGCTTCTGTCCTTCCTGTTTAAAATGTCAGTATTTTCTATGGTTTTCTGCAAGTGGAGCTAGATTTGTTTATGTTCCAGTAGGTTCAGCTGCTTTTTCACATGGGGTTAAAGTACTGGGTTGTGAGTCAAATTAGACTAAAACATTCTGATTTTGGCTGCTGTTCCTTTCTAATTTATCCTGACCTTCCCTTTCTTGGCAGTCTTAAGGCTCTAATATCTTGTCTTCTGGCTACAAGAACAGAGCATATGGTTTGCTTGAAGGTTCCTGTTCAGCACTTATCCATTAACCTGACAGTAGAAAGTGCTAAAGAGCAGGAACGGGAGTCACAGTGTGACTCTCACCTCAAGTTCAAAGTAAACACACTTGCCCCTTAAAAGACGTGCTGGATCTTCAAGTTCAAGAAAATCAGATACGGAGGCAACTACTAACATTTTTCCCTTACAATTTTGAGACATTCTTTCATTAAGCTATTTTATCATGAATTATATTCATCAGATATTATTATTTTCCCTTAGAGAAAACAGAAATAAAAAAACCTCACAACAAACAGAAGCTTAAAACTAGGATTTATGGTCTGGGCCTAGGAATAGTGTTTTGGTTTTGTGATAAATCCTAAGCAATATTTGACTTGCCTTTATGTTATCTGTGAGTAATTCTCAAGAAACTCTGCCCTGCCTCCTTCCATATCTCACAGCTGCCTGGAAGGAATTTATCGACAACCAATGTTTCTATCAAAAATTTGTGAAAAATAATTGTGCCATGTTGCTGAATTTCTATATAATGACTAATTTAGTAGTAGAGAATCTTTGTAAGCTAGTGAGAAATCATGATAATCCAAGCTCACCAGGGTGTCCAAGATTCTATATCCAACTATAGCTGTCAATCAACTACTTAGATGTTAACTTGGCCTCCTTCATTTCAACCTTATCAAATTCTCTTTACCATCTCCCCTCTCTGGTATGCTGAGTTTTGAAAGAAAGCCTACGTATGTCAGAAAAACATCATCAGTGAGAATAAGGGTCTTCTAATAGTACAGATAAACCTGCTTTTTCTTTTCAAAACTGACAGATAACCATTAAAAAAATTACTGTCAACTCACCATTGCCATCAAAGTAGCTTATTCTTGCTGCAGACTGCAAACTATATTCCTTCCCTTCCAGAACATCTATCTCATCTGTCTCCCATTTTATACTCCTGTTGATTGACTTATAAACTACTTACCAGGGTAGGTACTGTTTCTGTTTATCTATTCATTCATTTATACATTCAAAAGACATTTCTTGAACGCATTTGCCAATCAATGCACTAGGGGATTTATATGAATTTTAATACTGCTACTTTCACAAGGTACATATTCTTATCCCTGTTTTATAGGTGAGAAGCTGGGATGCAAACATATTAACTTGCTAGACCAAGTGTGATGCCAAAGCTTGTGCCTGTTCTTTTACATCGTACAGGACAGAAGGCAACAGATGATTAACTGTTTTTTACATTTTTTACATTTTATGCTAACATGATCCTGCACCGCCTCACAGCATAGAAAGTTGCCATCTCTCCCAGGCCTGTCCAGCTCAATAAAGGAAATGAGTACAACTGTTTGCTTGTCAAGTGTACTCTTTTGGAAAAAAAAAAAATTGAAGTTATACAAATATTTGCCATTCCATTAACTTATGTAATCTAGAGACTGATGAACACAAAATCAATTTTTGCTTTTTGGATTATTTGTCTTGTCATTAGTGAAAACATTATGACAAATTCCAGCCACAACATAAACAAACCTGAGCCATTTTAAAGTCCAGAAAATGTGAAGCTAGTGCTGAATCTCAGTGGAAGACTAATTTTTACAACTGTCTGCCTCCTTGTGTCAGATGTCTTCTCTGTTTGGTTTCGTTTTAAAATCATGAAATGAACGTACCGTCCTAACCTCCAGCCATCTGTTGGCAGCTGAGAGAAATAAGTAGGCTATGTTGTTTGTGTCCGTCAGTTCCAGCATACGTTGTTTAAATCTGGTTTCATGCCTGCAAAAAACAAAAATATTATGATGTTAGCAGGAGAAGTAATAAAGAACAGTCACACTTACTACTACACTATTTACTCGACATAGTGGCACTCTGATGGAATGGGATGACTGATAAATGGACTCCTTCTTCAAAATAGAGACCAGCTGCTACTGCTCTGCTGAATTCTTAGCAGAGATAGTGTGGTCAAGTGTATCTTTCCTTACTTATACCCTTACCAGGAAAAGGAGTCCTTCTAATGACAAAGTTTTATTAAAGATCATCTCATAAGTTTCCAAATAATTATTGTGGCCATGAAAACAAGGCATGGCCTATGTTGCAAGGGTCTTAGAAAAACCAGAATAAATTGTTCAGAAATGCAATATACTCTACCTACGTTTTATGGATTTATTTTACTTTTCCAAATGACGCAGTTGGAGTTGGGTGGGAGGTGCTGGATGAGAATCAGGGACGAAAACTATGCATTTGGAACAGCCAGCAATCCCATTACTGGGCATCTACCCAAAAGACCCAATGACACTCTACAAAAAAGACACCTGCACTCGAATGTTTATAGCAGCACAAGTCATAATCGTGAGGCTGTGGAAACAGCCCAAGTGCCCATCAATCCAAGAATGGATTAATAAAATGTGGTATATGTATACCATGGAGTACTATTCAGCTCTAAGAAACAACGGTGATATAGCACATCTTATATTTTCCTGGTTAGAGCTGGAACCCATACTACTAAGTGAAGTATCTTAAGAATGGAAAAACAAGCACCACATATACTCACCAGCAAACTGGTATTAACTGAGTAGCACCTAAGAGGACACATAGGAACTACAGTAATAGGGTATTGGGCAGGTGGGAGGGGGGAGGGGGACAAGTATATACATACATAATGAATGAGATGTGCACCATCTGGGGATGGTCACGCTGGAAACTCAGACTTGTGGGGGTAGGGGGGGTAGGGCATTTTTTGAAACCTTAAAATTTGTACCCCCATAATATGCCGAAATAAAAAAAATAAAATTAAAAAAAAATTCTCTTTTTGCTTCTTGTTTCTGGGAACCAAAGAAGAAAACTAGGGTGGCAAGAAGTGGGGGGGGGGTACATCAGAGGTGGCAAATGTTCTTGTTAGAGAAAATAGTTATACCCCAAAATTCTAAACTCTTTGTAATGATGATCACTGCATAAAAGGAACTCTTGGTTTGTGGTACTTTCAGTGTTCTATGATGCATACATACAGTTTAGATATTGATATCGAACCCTGACATATTAAGGTCATTCTCGATGCTCAACATAATCATGCCAAATCTGTGTAACCTATTTTATAAATTAAACTGCTAATAAAAGCCTTATCCATTTGAACATCTGAGCAACTGTCTTAAAGAAACTTATGCTACATGGTGAAAAGTATTTTCTAAATCACAAAGAGTCTCTTTTCATTTTTCAATTATTTTCCCTGAATAACAGAAACAACGGAAAGCTGGATAATCGATTCAAAGTAACTGGTATGAAGGTTGGGGAAATACCAAATAAAAATGTGGTTTATTCACACTCTGCAGCCATGGCTTGTCTTATACAGACTTTCTATCTACAAGCTATGTGTTCAAGGAATCGCCAAATTTCATCTGACAGCATGCCAGTGATTCCTGTCCGATGAAAGACTGCTCCAGCACCCCTAACTCCACCAAATCTTCAAATAAAATTGCAAAACTTTATAATGAACCATCACTTGTGTCAAAGAATGAAATCCTGGGTGGGGTGTTCACTTGGCCCACTGAAGTAATCCATACAAGCCAATATAAAGCAGATACTTGATATCCATCCAATCGATCTGATCATTCCAATATGGCAAACTAGATAGATAATTCAGTCAGACAGCAAGATCTGATATACAACAATCAAAGGATTTGGAAATTAGAGCCAAACAATGATCTCATTTTGAGTTATGTATCCTTGACCCAAATGCCATGCACAGAAGGCAACGCACTGATGTGGGACCAAGCACTCCAGGGAACATTCTTTCCCTCCAGATGATCCTTTTAGGGGTGAGTCTAGTAAATAACTAAAAGGCAGAGAGGGCAAGCTCATGGAAATATAAGATTTACTGACATAGTGGACAGGAACTGTAAAGAGATATATACATGCAAGGCTCATTTTTTTGGTACTTGCTAGATACAATGTTAGGTAGATTTTCATCCATTCATTCAGAGGCAATTAGCAAGTGCCAACTCTAAGTGACACATTATGCTAGACACTGGGGATATACATATGACCAAGAAGAGACCTCTTCCCTTGGGGAGCCTACCGTCTCTGGAAGGAGGTGAACACAGCATCAACAAGCAAAAATGGTGCAACACACCCTATGATGACCTTGTGCACAAAACACTACATGAACATGAAGAAAGGCTATAATTTGCACTGACTAGAGGATCAGGATGGTAGGGAATGAATGGAGTGAGGGGCGGGGAGAGGGGAAGGGTTAAGTGAGATTTTACAAAAGACAAAAGGGAAGATGATCTGAGATGAGTTTTAAGAGGTGAGCGGAATTTCTTAGGTGAACAAGGCATTCTAAGTAGCAGGAGCAACATAAGCAAAGGGACAGAAAGCCCCACAAGTTCAGGGGGCTAGAGACAGGTTCCTCTCCCTAGAACACTGTGGAGACACAGGGACCAGAGGTGACCACATTTGAGATGAACATCAAACACCTGATTCTGCCAAAGAGCTTCCTCTGAGACCCTTCTGACTCTCCATTTCGTTTGGGATATCGTTTCTGACACACTCTTAAAGAGTTTGTAAATGGAGTTGGCAACAGTTTGAAGCAGCAGTGAGAGGGGAGGGGTGAAAATGCAGCGAACATTCTTTCTGCGTGTTTCTATTTGGCAAGAAACCTTCTGTTTTCCTAATGGAAACTTTGACACACTCAGTCTGTATCTTTTCATCCACATCCAGCTCATCTTCTGAACATTCTTAGACCTTTATTCTGTCAGACAAAAAAAAAAAAAAAAAAAAGAGAGAGAGAAATAGGAAAGGTCACTGAAATCTCAATCTAATTTAACTGTGATACTTCACGGTAAACTACTTCAGGGAGTTTGTTGCTTCGTGTGAGTACACCATGAACCCTCCACGCAGGGGAGGAAAAGCAGCCTAATCAGTAGATACTAACTTTCCAAAAGAGCTCAAAGACTCTGGGGACTCTGGGTAGTTTAAAAGAAAGGAACAGACGGATGGAAAAGAACATGTTGGATTCTTGACCACAAGTACCAAATGTAAAGATTCTAGAATTTTATCCATGGGACCAGGGCCATCCTCACATTTATAAGACTTCTTTTGGTTTAAAAAATGTTGAAATTAATGATACTTAATAGTTACATTAAAAATGAACCCTGGAAGATCTAAACTAAATGAGTATCATGCAGGCAACTTCTATAAAGAAGTTGGGTTGTCTTTTGTTTCTTCCAACTCTCATTCAAGCATTGAAGGTTAACAGAAGATTCTGTTCTTTGTACATCTACCTAGAATTTTTCCTAATGTAAAAGAGCAATGCTAAATTTTGCTAAAATTTGCTAAATAGTAATGCTAAATTTTGCTCATGTGTCCAGTGAAGAAGGTAAATGAAAACTCTTAACCTTGACACCTGGTCAATTTCCTCTTTTATTTTAAATCTTCCTCATGCCTTTCAAGATGTTCTAGCTCATTCTTGTCCCTGTCACTCAGGAGATAACCTCACTTAGTCCGTTAGAGAGAAAATAGAGGCAGGTATATATTGAACCCATTAACTTCCTGTTATTTTACCTACCAGCTTGCCCGAATCCATTCATGTCCTTTCCTTACCTTCGTAGTTGAGCTATGTACCAAATACTGCTCAAGATGAGCTGGTCTTTCCACTTGGGCACTTGCACAAATTCCTGCTAATCTGCCATGAAAATCTGCTCCATCAGTTGTCCCCTCCTGCCTATATTTCCACTTCTTCCCTTCAGTCTTTAAAAATGTCAAGCTCATTACCCTCTCAAAATAAAAAGACAAACATTAAAAAAAAATTCTCCTTCTTTTCATTAGCTCTCCCTAAACTTCTTCATACTGCAGTGAAACTTCTTGAAAGAGTAGCTTTTCCTTGCTACACCCATGTTCTGACTTTCAGTTCATTCTTCAACCTTCCGAATTCTGACTTTAATCCTTTCACTTTACCATTACTGTTATTGCTAAGGTTGCAAAGAGTTTCGTGGTTGCCATATCCAACAGGCACTTTTAATTTCTTTTTATTCTACTTCTGTTGTTTTTACTACCATTGACCATTCAATTTATTCTTGAAACGCTCACTTTTAAACATTATACAATGCTTAAAATGCTTTTATTTATCCACACTATCCTGATTCTTTGCCTACTACTTAGATGGTTTACCATCCCATAGTGGGAAGATGAGGTCTTCTCTACTAAATGACAACTTTTGGCACTGTTATATCATTGAAGTCTTGGGAGGAGGAGGATAAGACTGAATTAAGGTCCACTACAATGATGTTGCCTAGGAAACATATGGATCAAACATAGGTACAGAAGTCCCTTAGGCCTTCTAGACTTGTCCTTGGCCTGGGTCGAGCTACTGGACATAAATGTTTGCTTATATAAGGTATCATTTGGACAAAGGGCTATCAAAAATCTGAACTGACCACTTAAAGGCCATAGGTGGCTTTGAGAGAGGCAAAGTGCTTGGGTGCTGGCCTCTCCTCTCCGGATATATCCAATAAAGGGAGGTCTCAGTGAATTTGCTCTTTACCACCATTAATATCTCAGTCATAGGGTGGTCAATTTTTGCAGGGACCAACTTGCTAAAGTGGTAGTCACAAGATCAAGGTCACCAAGACCTGGATCCTCTTTCTGTAGAGAGGGCATTGGTTTGGATTTGATACATCAGGCTGGCCTGTGTTGGGGTTGGCCAGGCTCAGGAGGAGGTAGGTCAGGAGGAGTTTTAGTAGAAAGCCTGAAGCCATGACAAGGGGCAATCGGTTGAGCCACAACAAGGGGCAGCACCAACCCTTGCCCTTTTCTGATGAAGTTGACTGGAAAACCAGAGCTCAAAGAGGCTGTTCAAATTAGGAGAGCAGATAAAAGAAGCTGAAGAGCCATTACGATATTGGCAGGAAGCAATCGGTTGAGCAGTGGAGTGCCCTTTAATTCATTCATGAAATATTTGAACACCTACTGTGTGCCTAACTCTGATAATATTCAGAAGGTAAAGATTAAAGACACATTGTGGGCCCTTAAAGAGCTCCTAATCTTGTGGAGGAATGCACACACACACACACACACACACACACACACAGCTGATTACGATACCGTGTGGCAAGTTTAGGATACAAATTAACATAGAGATCTCAAAAGCATGGAATCTATATTCTAATGTTCAGGGAAGGCTTCCCGCAGTAGATGATAATCATGAACTGATATTTCAGCAGTGAGATAAGCACTAGTTAGCCAAATATACAAGGCGGTCGGAAGGGACAAGTAATATTATATATCTTACTCTGAAGCATGTGCCTAAGAGAAGCAGCTTTGTTTAAAGAGTTAGCAATTGGCAGGTCATATTTTCTGTAACATAATTTTTATCTATTTGCTCCCTAAGTGCTGGTAGTCTGAAAATTTTGTCCAAGCTCCTCTTTTCTTAGTCTACACCCTCTACCTTGGCAATCAAATCCATGGCCAAAACTTTAATATCCATAAGAGGATGATACTCATACTTGCTATCATTTAAGGGGTTACATGCATACACATGGACATAGAGTATAGAATGATAGTCACTGGGGACTTGGAAGGGTGGGGAGGTGCCCTGGAATATCCCTTAAACTCCAGACCTATACACCTACCTGACCACAAAAATCTCCACCTGCATATCTCATCAGCACCTCTATCTGTTCATAACCAGATTCCTCCTTCCTACTGCAATCCTCCACATCATCTTCAGTTTCCTCACTTGGAAAACTACTTACTCAAGGGAATCAGAAACCTAGAAAGAGTTACCTTCAACTTCTTCCTCAAACTTACTCCTCACATTCACTTTGTCCCTAAATCTCATCAGTCCCACTTTCTACATATTTCTCAAAACTTCACTTTGTCCCAGGTCCTTGGTTCCTGAGCTAGCCTTTGCCATCTCTCACCTGGACCACTGTCACAGCCTCCTGAAATCTTCTTGCCTTTGGCCTTAACCAATCACAATTCATCCTCTACAGTAGACCACAGTTATCCTGATGAACACAACTCTGATCATGTCACTTTCCTGTATTTCTTCAGTAACTTTCCAGCATGGAAATAATAAAGTCCAAGTCCCCTAAAGGTTAATTATTCAATACCCTTTATATACGAGCCTCTCTTTGCGGTCTCAACCTTCATCCCAATGGCCATCTTCTTTGTACTTACTTTGTATTTCAGTGATGCTGGATTCTCTTGATTTCTATATACAACAGAAATCTTCATGCGTTTGTACATCTATCACCTCCGTTTTGAACATTCCACCCCTTTTATCTGCCAGGTCAACTGTTCATCATGCAGAGGTTTGTTGTTCAATAATTACCTCCCCATTCCTTTGAGACAGAGTGCTACCCTGCTTTCTCATACAGTTGTTTCTTGTGATACAGATATTAGACTATGTATCCTACTGTATTGCCATTTTGTTTTTCTTAAACCCTCTCTCCTATTAGGCTGTGAGCTCTTTAAGACAGAGTCCATGCTAGCTAGGTAGCCAGTATGTATTTCTTGAGGGCTTAGTCCTGGGCATTTTCCCAGGTAATGGTTATAAAAGAATATGGGATCAGGGTGAGCCCCTGATAGAGCTCACATTCTCCTGGAATGGGACAGACAACATGTCAACAAACAAACATAAAAGATAATTTAAAATACTCAGATAAATACCACAAAGGAAGTAAATAGGATAACATGGCAAGTACGGGCTGTGGGAGAAAACAGTGTCACTTTCAGCTGGGGTGAAAATGAAAGGCCATTCATGCTTTTTAGTCTTTATATATTCCACAGCAAGAATAGTATCTGGCATATGTTGAATATTCAAATATTTCTTAAACAAATTAACTTGAAAGAACTTATTTGGTGAAAAAAGTAATATTTTATATAGTGTTTTACCAATACCACTGATCATTTCTGGGTACTATTAGAATATAAATTTTATCTTAATGTCTATATTGAATGTTAATAACTAGTTTTGACATTCCCCCATGAAAGGTATTACACAATGTGATGGGAAAATATACCAGCGCAGAAATGTTTTTGTTTTTTAATTTTTTTTATTAAAAAAATTTTTTTTTCTTTAGAGATGGTGTCTCAGGCTGGTCTCAAACTCCTGAGTTCAAGCTATCCTTCTGCCTTGGCCTCCCAGTGGGCCAGGATTATAGGCACAAGCCACCGCACCTGGCCAAGTGCAGAAATGTTTAAAGCATGTTTCATGATGAAATTTACATGGATTTATGTAGAAATTCTGTGATATATAATGCTGTGGATAGTTTCCTCTTTATAGTCTACTTTGTGACCCAATTCTATATTTAAAAATAAATTTCTTAGGTTAGGAAAGTCTCTGATTAAAATCCATACATGCTTGCAATTACAGTTGCAGAAAGATAAAATTCTTTAAAATATGAATTTTTCTAGATTAAATAAAACATTTGGTAATATTATCTTCTTTTCTGATCTTACTTGAAAAGGAAAATGGAGTTAGGAATTTTTTTTTTTAAGAGACAGGGTCTCACTCTGTTGCCCAAGCTGCTAGAGTGCAGTGGCACAATCATAGATCACTGCAGCCTCAAATTCTTGGGTTCAACATCCTCCTGCCTGAGCCTCCTGAGTAGCTAAGACCTGAGGTATACACCACTGCACCCGGTTAATTGTTTTTTGTAGAGATGTGGTCTCCCTATGTTGCCCAGCCTGGACTCAAACTCTTGGCCTCAAGTAATTCTCCTGCCTCAGCCTCCCAGAGTGCTGGGATTACAGGTGTGAGACACAGCACTCAACCAATAATTTTTTGAGGATTAAGTATTAATAAATACTCTTAATTAAAAGCTTAGAGGCTGGGCGAGGTGGCTCACGCCTGTAATCCTAGCTCTCCTGGAGGCCGAGGCGGCGGATTTGATCCAAGGTCAGGAGTTCAAACCAGCCTGAAGCGGAGCGAGACCCCGTTTCTTACTATTAAATAGAAGAAATTCAATTGGCCAACTAATATATATATAAAAAAAAATTAGCCGGCATGGTTGGCGCATGCCTGTCAGTTCCCCAGGCTACTGGGGGCTGAGGCGAAGGATTGCTGAGCCCAGAGTTTTGAGGTTGCTGTGAAGCTAGCTTGACACCAAGCACTCATCTAGCTGGAGAACAAGCGAGATCTGTTCTCAAAAAAAAGCTTAGAGCACACAGAGTTTTTTTTGCCATTCTTAGGAAACGGCAGAAGAAATTCTGTACTTAGAGGATCAGATAAAATGTCAAATAAAAATATGCGTAGCTTAAAAAAAAAAGCTTAAGTTATTATTTTGTTTACAAAAATTGAGAGAACAGGGTTAAATTATTAAAAACTTTTGGTGTAATACCAATATTTCTGCTTAAGAATCATCATTATTACTATTATTATATATTTATTTTATTGGTGCTTCTTCAGTACTTTTACTGTGATTAAGCGTACATGCACTTATTACAATTAAGTTTCATGGTGACCTAAGGAGCAAGATTGATTTTCCCATTTCACGGATGAAAAAACTGAGGCTTAAGGAATTCAAAGCAAACACAAGTCACACAATTAGTATTTCTCAATCTGTTGCTTCATCCTTTCCTTTATCTTGGTAAATTTCATCAGATTGACTAAACCTTAACTCTGAAATTCATTTTCTGACCCACGTTTTTTTGCTCAACTGCTGGCTTAGCACAAAATCAGCACACGTGGGCATTCAGCAAAATGGTAAAGCCAAAGATCAGTTTATTTTTGCAGATAAATTTGTTGATACGTAAGCGGCCTTAGTTACAGCAATCAGAGAAGCATGTTTGCTCACCTAAAGGCCCGAATGGTGGTCGAGACCTCGCTGTTCTTTGAGAAGTGGCAAAGCAGGGCAAGTTCTGGGTGCTGTTCATCAAGTCTCGGAGGTTCTCTAGGAAGAGAGCAAAAATAAACGTCAAGCGCATCTAGGTTTCAAAGACCATTCTAATAAAGATGTTTTTTATAATATCTTTGTGTTTGTCATTGTTAACTATTTCCCCCAGCACCAAATAACAAAGTTCAACGGCTTCCAACACCAAAGAGGCAGAGAAGGATTGGGTCAATAATGAATACAGTTTAAAGGCGGACATAAGGTTTTTTACAAAGCCTGTCAGCTTGTGTACAACCTTAAAAAAGTTCTAAATAGGACAAGAAGAAACGAGTTTTACTTTTTTTTTTTTTGAGACAGAATCTCATTTTGTTTTTGCCCCAGGCTAGAGTGGAGTGCCGTGGGTCATGCCTAGCTCACAGCACCTCAAACTCCTTGGGCTTAAGCGATCTCCGCCTCAGCCTCCCGAGTAGACTGGACTACAGCATGTGCCCAGCCAGCTAATTTTTTTTATTATTATTATTTAGTTTGGCGATTATCTTTTCTAATTTAGAGTTAGAAGACGGGGTTCTCGTTCTTTCGCTTCAGGCTTGGTTTCGAACCCCGACCTCAAGCCAAATCCGCCCACCTTGCCTCCCAGAGTGCTAGCATTACAGGCGTGAACAACGGCGCCCGCCAAAGAAAACAAGCATTTTAATTCATACCTAGGAAAATGGGGTGGGGGTTCCTCTCGAGCAGGTGGGAATTAGGCACATAATGTTAGACTGAGAAACATTTAAATGAAATAGACAAGAAGTTGCCATTCAAGCTAAAGGAAGTCAAGAGCAAACGCAGGTGCCCTGAAGAAACCTTTAATCGAATTTAAAAAATTCTGGCTTGGTGCCAAAGCCAGAATCCTTTTCCGGGTGTTTTGCATGGGACAAAAGCTACGTTTAGGGAATAGGGCCTTTTGTTAGGGTGGAAGTAAGATCCTAAGAAGGATCTTTATGGGCTGAACAAAAAAAATCACTGGAGCCTAGAAATAAGACGATCATACCTATCCTTACTCAACATAACTTGGGAGACAATGGAAAGGATGGAGGGAGAAGGAGTGAGTGGGGAAGGTCAGTGAGGACAGCCTATATGAGATGTTTTTTAAAAGTTCTGAAGTAGTGTGATGCTGGTGAGGGGGCAATTGTGAGACTGTCAACTAGAAGTAGCTTTATAAGCGACAACAATTCGTTGTACCAAGGTAAATAAGAGAAGAGTCAAGCATAGCTTGGCTGTTTTTAGTTTAGCAGACTTGAAAAATGACCATGCTATTTACCAGGCCGGGGGTGGGCAGGACACAGAAAGAAGAGATTTGGAGAGAAAAGGTAATGATTTTGGCTTTGACCATAATGAGTTTGAATCCCTGCCTTCCTAGAACTTCCATGCATAGTTCTTCTAAGGAACTACGTGTGTGTGTGTGTGTGTGTGTATAACACAAGTGTAGAAAAGTATTCAATGGACGGAAATGCCCAACTCTGACCTTTTTCATGAAGATGCATATTCATGACAACTTTTCTTTAAATCAGATGAGCTAGCCCTTCTAGAAGATGGGCTAACATGTTTCAAAGCATTCCTCTTTTTTCTTCTCAATCTTTTTTTCCTGCCTAAGTCTTTGGGGTTGAGGGAAATAGAGAAGCAGCACCAGCATTCACCTGCCATAGTCAAGTGAACTGATAAACACGGTTCTACCATCTTCAACAATGAACTCAGGCCACTCTTGGCTGCCTGTGTAGTCTCACCAACAAATGCAAAGTCTTTTCAATTTGGAGTCTCTAAAATGGATTCCCTCATTTCAGACACTGCACGTGGGAGTTGAGGGAGAGAAAGACAGCAGGAAGGGGGAAAAGGAATATGAAGGAATGTGAATTGTCTGTTATTTTTAAACATAAAACCAAGTGGCTATTTGTAAATCTGACACAGCAACAGGTGGTCACTACACTGAGGTTTGCAGGGAAGGGAAAAAACTTAGGAAGGAGGAATGTTTGTTTATAGGACTGTGCTTCGTGGAACCAAAGAGGTGAGGACACAGCTTGATCTTGTATTCTTGCAAGAAGGAAACACTTACTGACTAACCACACATTAGACCTTTGATGTGAGATAGTCAAAATTTCATGGCATTTCCTGTAGCTAGTTCCCCACTTAAATTCTTTTTAGTGTATGCAAAGATAGTTTGTCAAGTTGCCTGAGCTTTTCAGCATGGGTGAGTCCTGAAGAGCCTCAACATCTAGAAGGATCCTCTTGTCTGTGAGATTTTGTATCATGTGGTTCCATTAGCTAACTTTCAGAGAATTTCGAATGAGAATGGTATACAATCCATTACCAGTTTTAATTCTTTGAAAATGATCATCTCCTCCCTCTTTTAGTCACTACCAGTGATACCAGATTATTCTCCCTGACAATGAACAGAATTCACAATTCAAATTTGTAAGGAACTAGGAATATCTGCCTAAACTTTGCATTCGATTTATGTTGCTAAAGGGCAAAATAGGCCCAAGTGACTATATGATTGAAGTAAGATTGATATTAGTGGTGAGATGGCAAGGACAGCTTTGGAAACAGTGATAATGAGATAACTCTGAACTTCTTTATCTTTCCAGCAAGCAGCACCAGCAATAATATTAGAAGAAATGAAAAGAAATAGTGAATTTGATTGTGAGCTACTCCCTTTTGGTCTGAATTTGCTACGAGCAAAGAGGATGAGTCTGGGGATAAAAAACAAAAAAATTACTCTAGATTTAATATGGATCCCTGACATTTGAAGGCCTTGAATTTATAGCTCAGAGGGAGAAAAAAACTACATTTTTAAAATTATGAAATGTTATATATGTTATGTTAAGAGGTTCCCAACTATAATCTTTCCCTTTGCTTCTTACCTTCCCCTATGTCCTTTCCTCTTCCCTCTAACCAGGCCATATTCATATTTTCAATGTCTTGAATAAACTCAATATCTGCCTTCTTATCCTAGCACTTAATGCACATGTTAGAATGATTTTGTATATGTTTTATCTTACCAAGACACTGTAAATTTTTTGAGAACAAGATCTTGTCATGTTGAGCTCTTCATCTGCTACATGGCTTAACACAGTTATTTGTTGAAATAAAGTGTTTGTTGAAATAATGTGATTCTTGCAATAATATAAAATTTGCTGTACTATTTACAGCAGGGCTTCAAATTTGAACTGAAAATTTCAAAACAACTGGTCTCATATGTCATTTAGCTATTCAACATCTCAGCAAATGACAAACCCTATATTAACAGGAGACTCTAAAACTCACAGCTACTTTTTATTTATTTGGCTGGTTACTCAAGTGCATGTAAAATGATCTAATCTGAAATTTTCCAATCTATATAAATTATAGCATTCCTGTCAGATATTCAAGATTATCTACTTTTATAGTCAGCACTTAGATTTATCTCTTCAACCGTTCTTTACTTCTACTAGTATCTCACACAATGTATTTTAAGAATTTTAAAGTTTTTAACTTTTTTTCCATATGTGGACTATCATGACATTAATTCACTTATTCTTTGTGATTATGTTTCATTTTGTAAGTTTCCTGTCAATGTCATGGTCATAAAAAAGGGCTATAGCATGAAAAATTTGGCAATCAATGGACTCAAAACTCAATAGATCAATCCACATGTTGATATATGCCCAGAGTTATGTAAGGTCCAGACAACCAATTACAGAAGTAATTCTAATAGATCTCCAAATGGAACATAATATAAGGGTAGGTTTCATCATGTTAAAAATAGGTTGCATTTCTAAATTCCATACCTTATCTTAAAGAACATTATAGCAAATGAAGGTCACAGTAAATCAAATATAGTTGTCTCCTTGGGGGATTGGTTCCAGGATCTCCTGGAGGTACCAAAATCTGCAGATGCTCAACTCCTTTGGATAAAATGGCATGGTATTTGCATATAACCTACGCAATCGTCCCATACATTTTAAATCATCTCTAGGTTACTTATAATTAGATCTCATACAATATCATATGACAAATTCATGTTTTGCTTTTTGGAACTTTGTGGAACTTTTTTTTTTTCAAATATTTTGGATCTGCGGTTGATTGAATCCACAAATGTAGAACCCGCTAATACAGAGGGCTGACTGTATATAAGCTTTTGAAAAAGAGTGGAACGCTGTTTTACTTACTTGGAGGCAACTCTGAAGTATTTCTGGATAAAATAAAAGGCAATCCCAAGGGGCAAAAGAGCAACCAGGAACACAGGAGTAGCAAAAGAAATCATCCCGATGGCAGATAGGCAGAGCAGTGTTGATCGAGTTAAAGATTCCAAAGTTGGAGGGATGTGCTATTTAGGTAGTTTGAAAGAAAAATATGTTTCAGCTCAAATGAAACACTGGTTACAATGCAACAAAAAATATTTATTTTATATTAGTGATAAGTTACAAAAGTATTAAATAGTATATAAACATGTTAATTGTAAGCAGTTCTTCACTTAATTCCAGGAGTTTAGTATATCTATATATCTAGTTACATGTCATTTATTAGTTAACTACCTATCTACCTACTTGAGTATTTATATAAATGGTACTACACCATAAATCTTTGTTCATGTGCTTGTTTTATTTTACTGAACAAGATAGTCTATAAACTTTCCACGTCAGTGTATTCAAATCTATTTCTTTTTAATGGTTGCATGGTATTAAAAAGCTTATTTAGCTATTTCTCTCCTGTAAGACATTTAAATTTATTTTCTGTTATTGCTTGCTCATATCCTTTGAGTATTTTTGATTGGATTGTTCATCTTTTCCTTATTGATTTGTAGATGCTCTTTGTATGTTATGATGTTTATTTTCTTTCTTATACATTTTTGGCAAATTTTTCTCCTAGATTACCTATTATATTTGCTTGTCTTTGGTATCTTTAGCTCAATAAAAATTTTAAGTTTTTTATAGTAATTTCTATTGGCTTTTTTGCTTGTTGTTTCTGAGTTCTGGGTCTTATTTAAAAACAACCTTTCTCACCACAAGATAATAAAACTAGGCTCCTACATTTTATTTTATAACTTCATGTTTTTATTCTATATGTATCTGTTTGTATTTTATGGATAACAAATTATCCCAATTTCATTGATTAAAAAATTAATCTTTTTCTTTTATTATTTTATTTACATTTTTTATTATTTACATCTTTTTATTTACATCTTTTATTATTTTATTTACATTTATTCTATATTAAGTCTCTATATATGCTGATGTATTTGAAGATCTCCATTCTGTTCTTTTGATCTCCTTGTTTTCTGTGATCAACATAGTGCTTTAATTTGGTAGTAATTTTGGATATCTGATAGGAAAATTCTCTCTATCTATACACAGGATTTTTATGACTTCCGGGATTGTTGCATATCTTTTCTTCATATTACCTTTATTTCTGTTTTTATAGTTGTTGTTATTATAAATGGAACTTATTTTTCACTAAATTTTTAATTGGTATAGAGGAAGTTGCCAATTTTCATATGATATATCTTATGCAGATACTCTGCTGAATTTTCTAATTGGCTCTTTATTTTACTAATTATTCTGAATTCTCTAGGTAGCAATCACATCACCTTATAAATAATGACAGTTTCATCTCTTCTTTTCCAGAATGTATCCCTTATGAAGTGTTTTAGGTGCAATGTAATCTAACACTAAATCCTGCAAAACTATCAAAATTTCTCAGCATACTTTTAAATCAGCTGCATGTATCAAGCATTTGTCTTCTAAACTAAGGGTAATTTAGGTGGAAAGTCAAGAGAGGCAAGGGCCAAATTTGATGAATTCCTTTCTCAATCATTCTGAGGGTTCTGCTCTTAGTGTGATCCAATTTCATAGTTTGATATCATTAATTTCAGGACAAACTCCTAGAGAACTTAGGCTAAACTGGCCATTCTTAGAATACTTAGAATTCTTAGAATATCACATCATCTAAAGCTTCAAGAGCCAAGCTAATAAAAGTAAAGGGTATCTAAGAGAGCTTGGCATCCCATCCTTCACTTCTGACAGACACTCTGTGTGACTACTAAACTTTTAAAAACCTTATATTATGCATGGTGATACAACACTGATCAAATAATGAAAATTTTTAAATGTTAGATCAATGTTTACTATTTCTCTTTATTTCATGCTGATTCTCTAAGTATCCTCTTTTACATAAATAAGTTAGTTTGTATTAAGGTTTTCCCTTAATATTTCATTCTAGAAATCATTTGCATGTATAATATTGATATGAATGCAAATGGGCCTTCATTTAAATCTTAGCAATCCTCTACTATTAACAGGAACTACACTTTATCTCAAAAATCCTACTTAATTTACACGAAGAAATTTAGTTTTGAACTTGGAAGCAACTCAGGTACTCACCTGATCAATGATATTAGTATCAGCTGAAAAGCGATTGAGAATTAGTCCTAGGGGTGTAGTATCAAAGAACCTAGGAAATAAACAGATTGAAGTGCATAAAAATGTTAAATTACTTGGAACTTGAGCATTGCTAATGGGCATTCTTAGAGTCATGAAAATGAGAAGGGCCCTATTCATTTGCTCAAGTACTAAAGAAATTCTTTAAACTTTCCTATTTCATTTTCATTTTAAAATGCATGTTTTTATAATTTTGTGTGTGGGAGTGAAAAATAACTTTGTTTTTACCTTATTGGTCCAAGAATTATCTTATTGAGAAGATTGTGGTGAAGATTTTTGGCAGCTGTGAGACCCATCCATTCTACGGTGAGAGATGTAACCAGGCAAAGGAAAATACCTGCTCCACAAAGTATGCTAAATCCAGCCACATAGTAGGTCTAAAAAGCAACCAACACAAGAAGAGCATGGGGAAATTACCAATTGAGTTTTTTCTTACTAGAAAATCAAATCTCAAAGTCAGACAAAATTGTTGACTTCATGATTTAGCATGCATTTGGATAGTAGAAGAAGTGCAGCTCTTGGAGGCTCAGGGTAGTATTCCCACCACAAACCCACAGGCCAAGCCCTACTTGCTCCCTTCACCCTTTCAAGGTTTGCCTAAGGGGAGATGAAGATATAGAGTTTGTTTCCAGGTTCCAGGCATCTTCTTGGCTTTCCATTGTAGAGCTCAATCTGCCCATCCCTAATCTCAGACTGACCAAGTAATACACTAATACAGGTAGTCAAAATCAAATACCATCAGAACAATGAAAAACAAGTCCTGTGTGGATGTGTTTAACATATACATGACATATATCTAAAACATACACATATAACTCTCTTGAATGCAAATCCAAACATTATCTTTAAATGTTTTTTATGATAAGCTTTTAAAAATAAAAGCAAAAATAGTAGATTCCATTTTTAACATTTTTGATGATTTATTCTAATTTAGGTCCTATTGCAATATTGTAATTATTAACTTATTGAATCATCACAGAAGTCCTATGACATCTGGGCTATCAGTACCTAACTAGATAAAACGGTATCACTGTTAATCTCAACATTTCCTTTAAGATTTAAAAACAGAATGGAACCCACTGTACCTGATCAGTTTTTCCAGTACTGTTTATACTGTATTCTGACGTCCAGGTGGCCAGCCAATAGTCTATACCCACAATGACTGAATGCTTCAAAAGCTTAGAGAAAATCATCAGGAGGAGCAAGATGAATCCTCCAGAAGTGAGGTACCGCCAACAGGTTTTCCATGGCATTTTAGTCCTGAGCCGCATTACAGTGGACATGTTATCATCCTCATCTTCTTCCTCTTCTTCCTCTACATATTTGAAAAAAAAAAAAAACTTTATTTAGGTTTCAGATGGGTACCAGGTAGATAGAATTTTTATTCTCCCACAAAAAAGTACATAAGCTTTAGTCTTGGAAATTTTAAATGCTTTGAGTAGGACAAACCTCATTTTTTTTTTTAAATAGTTGGAAAATGAATGAATGATGGAGTGACAAAATAAGCATAGAACTATATCTGGATGAGATTATTTGCTGATTTTCTGCACATCAAATTGACTGGAGGTATAGGCTAGAAGCTTATTACGTTATTAAAGGAATTATGTTGCCAATAAAACCACATTCCTGGACTACAAACATCTATAATTTGTTTATAATGGTTTGTACAAAGCTGTCAAGCTTTGTGTAACAACTAAAGTGCTATAGGACACAGAAGAACGAGTACTTTTTTTTTTTCTTTTTTTGAGACCGAACACTTTGTTGCCCAGGCTAGAGTGAGTGCCGTGGCGTCAGCCAGCTCACAGCAACCTCAAACTCCTGGGCTTAAGCGATCCTTCCTGCCTCAGCCTCCGAGTAGCTGGGACTAGGCAGCATGTGCCACCAAGCCCAGCTAATTTTTCTATATATATTAGTTGGCCGATTAATTTCTTTCTATTTAGAGTAGAGACGGGGGTCTCGCTCTTGCTCAGGCTGGTTTCGAACTCCTGACCTCAAGCAATCCGCCCACCTTGGCCTCCCAGAGTGCTAGCATTACAGGCGTGAGCCACGGCGCCCGGCCAAGAACAAGCATTTAATTCATACCTAGGAAATGGGTGGGGTTTCCTTCGAGCAGGTGAATTTAGGCCACATATTAGACCTGATGAGACATTTAATGAAATAGACAAGAAGTGCATTCCAGCTAAGAGAGTACCAAGAGCAAACGCAGGTGTCTGAAGAACCTTAATCAAATTTAATCTGGCTGGTGCCAAGCAAGAATCCTTTCCGGTGTTGCAGTGGGAAAAAGCTACGTTAGGGATAGGGCCTGTGTTAGGGTGGGAGTAGATCCTAGAGGATCTTTATGGGCTGAACAAAAAAAATCACTGGAGCCTAGAAATAAGACGATATACCTATCCTTACAACATAACTTGGAGACAATGGAAAGGATGGAGGGAGAAGGAGTGAGTGGGGAAGGTCAGTGAGGACAGCCTATATGAGATGTTTTTTAAAAGTTCTGAAGTAGTGTGATGCTGGTGAGGGCAATTGTGAGACTGTCAACTAGAAGTAGCTTTATAAGCGACAACAATTCGTTGTACCAAGGTAAATAAGAGAAGAGTCAAGCATAGCTTGGCTGTTTTAGTTTAGGCAGACTTGAAAATGACCATGCTATTTACCAGGCCGGGGGTGGGAGACACAGAAAGAAGAAGATTTGGAGAGAAAGAGTAATGATTTTGGCTTGACCATAATGGAGTTTGAATCCCTGCCTTCCTAGAACTTCCATGCATAGTTCTTCTAAGAATACGGTGTGTGTGTGTATGTGTGTGTGTGTGTGTATAACACAAGTGTAGAAAAGTATTCAATGGATGGAAATGCCCAACTCTGACCTTTTGCATGAAGATGCATATTCATGACAACTTTTCTTTAAATCATATGAGCTAGCCCTTCTAGAAGATGGGCTAACATGTTTCAAAGCATTCCTCTTTTTTCTTCTCATCTTTTTTTCCTGCCTAAGTCTTGTGGGTTGAGGGAAATAGAGAAGCCAGCACCAGCATTACCTGCCATAGTCATAGTGAACTGATAAACACGGTTCTACAATCTTCAACAATGAACTCAGGCCACTCTTGCTGCCTGTGTGTAGTCTCACCAACAAATGCAAATTTTTTCAATTTGGAGTCTCTAAAATGGATTCCCTCATTTCAGACACTGCACGTGGGGAGTTGGGGGAGAGAAAGACAGCAGGAAGGGAAAAGGAATATGAAGGAATTGAATTGTCTGTTATTTTTAAACATAAAACCAAGTGGCTATTTGTAAATCTGACACAGCAACAGGTGGGTCACTACACTGAGGTTTGCAGGGAAGGAAAAACTTAGGAAGGAGGAATGTTTGTTTATAGGACTGTGCTTCGTGGAACCAAACAGGTGAGGACACAGTTGATCTTGTATTCTTGCAAGAAGGAAACACTTTACTAACCACACATTAGACCTTTGATGAGAGATAGTCAAAATTTCATGCATTTCCTGTAGCTAGTTCCCCACTAAATTCTTTTTAGTGTATGCAAAGATAGTTTGTCAAGTTGCCTGAGCTTTTCAACATGGGTGAGTCCTGAAGAGCCTCAACATCTAGAAGGATCCTCTTGTCTGTGAGATTTTGTATCATGTGGTTCTATTTAGCTTAACTTTCAGAGAATTTCGAATGAGAATGGTATACAATCTATTACCAGTTTTAATTCTTTGAAAATGATCATCTCCTCCCTCTTTTAGTCACTACCAGTGATACCAGATTATTCTCCCTGACAATGAACAGAATTCACAATCCAAATTTGTAAGGAACTAGGAATATCTGCCTAAACTTTGCATTCGATTATGTTGCTAAAGGGCAAAATAGGCCCAAGCGACTATATGATTGAAGTAAGATTGATATTAGTGGTAAGATGGCAAGGACAGCTTGGAAACAGTGATAATGAGATAACTCTGAACTTCTTTATCTTTCCAGCAGCAACACCACAATAATATTAGAAAGAAATGAAAAGAAATAGTGAATTTGATTGTGAGCTACTCCCTTTTGGTCTGAATTTGCTACGAGCAAAGAGGATGAGTCTGAGGATAAAAAAAAAAAAAAAATTACTCTAGATTTAATATGGATCCCTGACATTTGAAGGCCTTGAATTTATAGCTCAGAGGGAGAAAAAACTACATTTTTAAAATTATGAAATGTTATATATGTTATATAAGAGGTTCCCAACTATAATCTTTCCCTTTGCTTCTTACCTTCCCTATGTCCTTTCCTCTTCCCTGTAACCAGGCATATTCATAGTTTTCAATGTCTTGAATAAACTCAATATCTGCCTTCTTATCCTAGCACTTAATGCACATGTTAGAATGATTGTATATGTTTTATCTTACCAAGACATGTAACAAGAGAACAAGATCTTGTCTTGAAAGATCTTGTCATGTTGAGCGCTTCATCTGCTACATGGCTTAACACCGTTATTTGTTGAAATAAAGTGTTGAAATAACGTGATTCTTGCAATATATAAAATTTGCTGTACTATTTACACAGCGGCTTCAATTTGAACTGAAAATTTCAAAACAACTGGTCTCATATGTCATTTAGCTATTCAACATCTCAGCAAATGACAAACCCTATATTAACAGGAGACTCTAAAACTCACAGCTACTTTTTATTTATTTGGCTGGTCACTCAAGTGCATGTAAAATGATCTAATCTGAAATTTTCCAATCTATATAAATTATAGCATTCCTGTCAGATATTCAAGATTATCTACTTTTATAGTCAGCACTTAGATTTATCTCTTCAACCTTTCTTACTTCTACTAGTATCTCACACGATGTATTTAAGAATTTTAAAGTTTTTAACTTTTTTTCCATATGTGGACTATCATGACATTAATTCACTTATTCTTTGTGATTATGTTTGATTTTGTAAGTTTCCTGTCAATGCCATGGTCATAAAAAAGGCTATAGCATGAAAAATTTGGCAATCAATGGACTCAAAACTCAATAGATCAATCCACATGTTGATATATCCCAGAGTTATGTAAGCCAGACAACCAATTACAGAAGTAATTCTAATAGATCTCCAAATGGAAATAATATAAGGGTAGTTTCATCATGTTAAAATAGGTGCATTTCTAAATTCCATACCTTATTCTTAAAACATCATAGCAAATGAAGGTCACAGTAAATCAATACAGTTGTCCTCCTTGGGGGTTGGTTCCAGGATCTCCTGGGGGTACCAAAATCTGCAGTCTGCTCAACTCCCTTGGATAATGGCATGGTATTTGCATATAACCTACGCAATCGTTCCCATAGGATTTTAAATCATCTATAGGTTACTTATAATTATATCTCATACCAATATCATATGACAAATTCATGTTTTGCTTTTTGGACTTTGTGAACTTTTTTTTTCAAATATTTTGGATCTGCGTTGGTTGAATCCACAAATGTAGAACCCGCTAATACAGAGGGCTGACTGTATAAAGCTTTTGAAAAGAGTGGAACGCTGTTTTTACTTCTTGAGGCAACTCTGAAGTATTTCTGGATAAAATAAAAGGCAATCCCAAGGGGCAAAGAGCAACCAGGAACACAGGATAGCAAAAGAAATCATCCCGATGGCAGACGCAGAGCAATGTTGATCGAGTTAAAGATTCCAAAGTTGGAGGGATGTGCTATTTAGGTAGTTTGAAAGAAAAATATGTTTCAGCTCAAATGAAACACTGGTTACAACGCAACAAAAAATATTTATTATATTAGTGATAAGTTACAAAAGTATTAAATAGTTATAACATGTTAATTGTAAGCAGTTCTTCACTTAATTCCAGGAGTTTAGTATATCTATAATCTAGTTACATGTCATTATTAGTTATCTACCTATCTACCTACTTGAGTATTTATATAAATGGTACTACACATAAAATCTTTGTTCATGTGCTTGTTTTATTTTACTGAACAAGATTAGTCTATAAACCTTCCACGTCGTGTATTCAAATCATTTCTTTAATGGTTGCATGGTATAAAAGCTTATTTGCTATTTCTCTCCTGTAAGACATTTAATTTATTTCTGTATTGCTTGCTCATATCCTTTGAGTATTTTGATTGATGTTCATCTTTCCTTATTGAGATTTGTAGATGCTCTTTGTAATGTTATGATGTTTATTTCTTTCTTATACATTTTTGCAAATTTTCTCCTAGAGTTACTCATTATATTGTTGTCTTTTGGTATTTTAGCTCAATAAAAATTTTAAGTTTTTATAGTAATTTCTATTGGCTTTTTTGCTTGTTGTTTCTGATTCTGGGTCTTATTTAAAAACAACCT